CGGCGGGCCTTTTTCGAATTTTTTTTTTGATATTTTTTGATCAAACAGACAAACAATCCATACAAAAAGCACAAAAAAAATATAGGAAATTGTATTGAGAGCTCAAAATTCGGTTCAAAATGACAAAATTTTTGCTACCGGGCCTTGAAATTTTCCTCAGGTTCCGGCTTTGGCGGGCCGGCCCAGAATTTTACAAGTATGTTTCTAATCATATCATTTTTTGTCAGGGATTTAATCCAGTTTTAATCTTGTTTTCGACCTGGTTTTGACTCATTTTCAGCACATTTGTAGGATGTTTCTATAGGACGGACCACAGACGGATGACTGACGAATTAAGTTAAAGTGAGATTGGTAACGGTCATTTGACAAAAAAAAGCAAACAGACAAAAAATTTATTCTTATCTTTCACATACTAATTTAAAAACTTCAATTATCTAAAACTCGCTCTACTGATAACAACCGATATCTCTAGAGAAGAAAGAGTCAGTAGCATAATGGAATGTAATAGGGAACATTGATGGTCCGGAGTGATACGTGGCATCTGAATGGACACATGGCATATCTTCTCGTTGAGGAAGTTCACAATCAAAGGCATTCACACATGTGATGTCATTGTAGAGCCATTTGGTATCACGAATGTGATAGAAGGATTCGTTGTAACATGAGAAAACGATATCCATGTAGAAATCGGATTGGGGTAATGTGGAAGCCAGATTGGAGATGTCCGGGTGGAGGAGCATTCTGGAAAAAAGGAAGCTGGGATTCTTAATAAGGTCGGACTCTCAGAACTTTTTGATCTTAGAATCAAAAAAAACCCAGGATCTCAGAACCACAGAAAAGTCGGGCCACTTACTCCTTCAAATCCTCATCAATCTCTTTCAAATGTTTCTCAGTAATTAATTCTGTAATATTATCTCCGGGATTCACCGGCAACGCGCCTCCAGGTATTTTCTTCGAATCAATGTAATCCATTTTCTTCAAATGAAATATTCCATTCGTGGTGACCAATTTCTTGTACCAGTATATTGGATTTTGACCAGCAGTCAGATAAATTGGTTTGTGATCCGAATTTCTTGAATAATGGGACCAAGTTGAATTGAATCTCTCCGGACGTAGAAATGACTTTCCAGCATCCTTTGTCTTCAATCTCCGTGCATTTTTGACCATGGAACTAATAGTTTGGGTGTTCAGATCTCCAGTTTTTATAGTACGGTAGTCAAATTTGTCGTAGTGAAGAGCACTGATCTCCCAACTACCACCATACTCCCTTTCGAATTCCTCATAGTAAGAATTCGCATTTGTTGGAATCAGAATATCATCCATGTCCAGAATCCCAACAAAGCTCACAGCTTCCTTATACATTAATAAGCAGTCTGTATGAGCTGCCGCTTGATTTCGGAGCTCCACATTTCGATTTGGCTCCAAATATGGGCCATCGGTCACCGGAAACTTTATGGTGAGCCATGGTTCAATTGAGACGAGACCCAGTTTTTCGTATTCTTTGATTAGTTTATAGTAAGACTCGACCATTGAGACAATGTAAAGCTGCAAGTGAGCACCGTATCTGGAAATGGAGAAAAATTGGGGTTATGCGTGAAACCATACTTGTAAAATTTCGGCCCCGCCCGTTACAAGTATGCGTGAAACATGTAATAGAAGGGCCCCTGACTTTTAAAGTAGGCCAGACATTAAATTTTTCACAATTCTAGTTTTTTGATATATTTTTTGATATATCCCACCTCTTTGAAATGTGGATCTGTACTAAAAATGTCTGCCATTGCTCAGCTGCAAATTGCGGGGAAACACAAAAAACCACAGGTTTCGGCGCCGAGTATTTAGTCTTTCGGAATGGAACCTGAAAGTTTTAAGATGTCCATTTTTCCTAAAATCTAATTTCTAGCCTCCATGACAACTCCATCGGCCTCAATTTCCAATTTTTCCATTCGCTCTACTAAATTGGTTTGGGCAGTGATCAGAGAATAGTCACAACGATCGTTTAGAGCGTGTTCTCTTAAAAGTTTTGGGGTCGACAGTAATCCGGAAAAGCTACTTACGTTGTCAATGTTGCCTCTTGAGTCATTTGCATTGTCTTGTTGGTCCCAATTAGGTTTATTTTGTAGTTTGTGATTTTTGAAGCGGTCCGTTTATTCATTGTTGTCACAATTGCAATTGCATTCTTACCAAGACTGGAATTTGATAAAAGTTTTCAAATTTTGAATTTTAAGATTCTGAGATTCTGAGACTATAAATTTTGAAAATGGTAACCGCGTAGCTCATCCGGAAAAACTCACGATTTGGAAACTGGGAAATAATATGCAGAATGTATAAATGTGTGGCTATACTGTAGTAAATCTACCCGAGGTCTGAAATTTTGTGATTTCTCAATTTTTTATTAGAATTTTCAAAAAAAATTACCCCGTCTCCTCGAATGACCAGAAAATTAGGAATTTGAATAATAGAACAATTAGAATCAGAAAAAGGATGGCCAGAGATTTTACAACTCGTTTAAAATAAATTTTGAATCGGTATTTTCGAAGAATTGAGCGGAATTTCAGTAGATTCATTTTAGAAAAATAGATCCAAAGTTTTGGAACATGGGAAATATTTGGGAAAATTGGACGATTGAAAAATGAGATAATGCATTTTCCTGTTCGAAATATTTTAGTTTAGAAAAAAAAGTTTCGCTAGATTTTAGCTGATTTAGTGGACAAGATTTTGAGAAATATTGGGAATTTTGAAGCATAAAAAGGTGATTTTTGATTTTTAAAATTTTTTGAATTTTCTGAAATTTTAATTTTATTCTAAAAATTATAAACTTTTCAGATAGAGATTATGTAGTTCTGAAACTCCGAATTTGTGCAAATTTAGGTTTTACGAATTTCTAAATTCTATGAAATTTCTGATATTTCGAATTTTCAAAAGTTCTGAAATTCTGAAATTCCGAAATTCTGAATTTTTTGCAATTTCCAAATTTTCTGAAATTTCTGAATGTTCGCAAAATACACCCTAAACTTCTTAAAGAATTTTTGGAGAATTTTCGGGCGTTTTAGAAATTTACTGAAAATCTGAAATAAAAAAGTCTGAAAAATCACAAAAAATCTTTATTTGGATAACTTTTCAAAACGGATACAATGTCAATGAAGTCTTCGATTTTTCAACCACCGCGCAGAAAATTCTCATAGAATCTCCGTAATAATCACATGAAAATTCGCGAGTATCCTGAATTCCATGTATATTTTCAAAGCCGCTGAAGATTTTCCCACTGAAAAAAATATTTTTGAAATACAAAGATTTGAGAAAAAACTCACATGAACTCTCCGCCTTCTTCATAATCTTGAGGAATTTTTTTGACAATCCAACTATCAGAGAACAAATCTCTTTGAGCATCGAAAAATTGAGGATGCACAGTTCGAATTTCCAATTTTTCGTGTCGTTTTCCGAATTTCAGAAACTTCTGAAAACCGAAAAAAAAAAATGGAAAAACTCAATTCTCAAAAATCCTCCAACCAGTAATCTTATCTTCGCCGCTGCTGGAGTGATCTGATCGGATGAAACTGTCAAATCCATCGCTTCAATTCCTTCTAATTCCTCATCCGTCATTCCAGTTTCACATCGAATTTTTAAATGCTTCGAAACTTTCAACCCTTGAATAAACGGTCTGATTGGCACTTCAACACTCCAACAATCAATTTCAAAATTTTTGAATTCGCGCCGAATTTGAAGAGACGAAGTTATCCATTCCAGAAGACACTCTTGTTGAAAATCCGCGAGTTTCAGGTTCTCACAATTTGGTATGAATGCTTCTGGTGGGGCAAATGTGGCCTGAAGATTTTACTGTTTTTATTGCCGAAACTCGGAAAACTCAGAAATTATAAAAAACTTTCAAAATTAAATTAACGACTCACCCCTACAACTTCCACCGTATCAGCTTGAATGCATCCGTCATGTGAAACAGATTTCAGAAAATTGTTCAATATTTCAAATCGATTTTCTTGTCGAATTTCGGACAGCTCTTCGAATAATTCTCCCTCCCATCCTTATCAATTTTCGTCAAATTTTCTTTTCCTGTCAACCAAATTGTTAATGAATCCAACTCGACACGAATAGTTGACTGAAATTTTGAAAAAGTGGAAAATTTTCTTAATTTCTAGAAAAGAGAAACCCACTTTTTCTTCGGACCAGTTGCTCAGAACCCCTGTGATAATCAGTTTCTCAATTTTTGGTCTTGTCATGAAAGCCGCAGTTTCTTGTTGTTCCTTAGCAGAAAATTGAATCTTGCGCCTAAAAATTGTTTTTTTTTTCGAAAAAAAAATTCAGAACTCCCTCAGAATATTGTGAATTACCAAAAATCAAAAAAAAACTCACTGTGACACAAAATCTAATAATTTCGATATTTTTTGTGGTCTACCAGTTTTTGGATCGTGAAGAGACATTTTTCGTACTGCAAATTCTACAAAATGAGTTCGAAAAATCAGAGAGTGGGAAAATGTGAACAAATAAAGTGAAGAAAATAGTGAGGAAAGAATAGGAAACGCAGAGAAAAATGCTTTTTTTAGATACTTGAATTTCCTGGAGTTTCGAAAACTTCAGAACTTTGAGAAATGTCTGTATTGTCGAATTTCTGAGTTTCTGAAATTTTGCATTTCCAAACTCCCGAGTTTTCGTTCTATTTTTCGAGCTTTTTCCGGAAATTCAAGTTTTTTTTAAAATTTATCTAACTAAAAATAAACATTTGTTTACTGGTTTCATTGCAATAAAATATATTTCAAATTTTGAAACTTATAATACAATTTTTGGATTCTCATAATTTTTCAAAATATTCAGAGAAACCAGGAGGAAAAAAACGGACAACATAATTATTCCAATTGTTTCTCAAACATTTGAAAATACAAATCAGTATGCATAGGTTTTCTACGAAGTGCCATTGTGATATTCCTTCTTTGCTCTCCGTCCAAAATTCTCAATTTCCACCAAACGCCAATACAAACGATAATACCGTATAATGGAATTGCATGGGTTACTGTAATTTTGAATTTCATTTTTTTTTCAAAAAAAAAAGAATGATTACATTCAATAATAGCCATATAATTGGGTTTCGTGAAGAATGGAGAAGCTAAATGGAGAACAACAATTCCAAGTAAAATTGTAGAAATTGTGATGCAATTGAAATGTATGAAAGATTTTAGAGCGACGAAAGATCTGGAAATTTTAAAATTTCGTAATTTTTAGATTTTTTAAAAATTTCACCTTCTTCCCTGATCCAAAGTGTATCGGGTGCTCAAATTAATATCCGCTACTGCTCGAAGTTTCTGAAAATCAAAAAAAATATCCAGGAAATTTTTGATCTTCAAACCTTATTTTTGATCTCCAAAATTCGAAAAACCACAATCGAAATGATTTGTGAGCAAATGACCATTGACAATGGGATGATAGTCTCAGCAGTTGAAATCGTACTCGACACCAGTGTCTAAATATTGATTTTCAATTTGGATATCGATTTTTAAGCCCCGCCCACCTGACAATAGAAAAATGTGAAGCTGGATGGAGTGAAAGCAGCATGTACATATCTCGTAAAAAGATAACAAATTGCCAGAAATATTTGAAAAACGCCCAAAAAGATTCCATAATTAATTGAGCAATTCTCATAAGCTCGATTGTATTTTACAGCGATCAGACGCTCTAAAGTTATGGAAATCGGGGTCATTGATACGGTAGCTTGGCCAGCATTGTACAAAAATCGGAAAATTAGGCATCTGAAACTTTGAAAATTTTGGGATTTTGGGAAAAAATTGAACCTATAAAAATTTGGTAAAATTTCACATCCGGATTGATATGGGTAGAAATAGTTGAAGAGGTCAGCGGTGTGAAGAGAGAATCTGAAGATTGAAGATTTTTTTGAAAATCGGAAATTTTTGAAATATTTCTCTAAATGTCTGAAAGTACAATAAAACTTTGAAAATGCTAAATTTTTAGAATTTTAGAATTTTCAAGACGTATAACGTTTTCAAGCTTCGAAGTATCATAACTTCAAAACTTGCGGATTTTTTGAAATACTGAATTTACCGAATATTTAGAAGTTATAGATTTTATGGAATTGTTGATTTCGGAATCTCAAAATCTCAGTATCTAGAAAACCGTACTTTTTGAAGCTACATTTCTTTCGATTTCGCAATCTGATGTTTTAGAACTAACCATTTGGCAACTGAAAAGCGCGGTTGCGATTTGGTAATTGTAATTTGTTTATTGATCAGGTGTAATGAAACATTAGAGGGCAAGTAATGAAACATTAGAGGGCAAGTAATGAAACATTAGAGGCAAGATGAAAGACTCAGAAAATGCCCCTCACGAGGCCGATCTGAGTGGGGGAGGGAAAACGGGATAATTTAGAGTCAGTTTCGAAATGTCCGGTTTTAGAACGTATGGTCGCAAAATTGAAAACATTGTTTTTCAAAAAAAAAAGTAAAAAGAACCGTTTTTTAAACTTTTTAGTATCAACAATTCCAAAAAAAACCGAAAACTTCAGAAATTCCAAAATTCCGAAAAATTTGGAAATTCTAGAATTGGGGAACTCAAAAGTCCATTGAGTTGATCACTGAACATTCTGAACCTTCTAGAAATTTTTAAAATATCTGAAATTTGAAAAAATAATGACTTGCCTGCCAACACAATGAACCAACAATGCAGCCAAATGAATACTTATTTGGATTTGAGTATTTTTATGAAAAACCCGTTGTGTGAATGAAAAGTATAACGAATATCCTATTATTGGAAAAGCTGGAAGCAAAATGAACCAATTCAGGAGAAGCGATAGACGGAGTTCGATCGATGTTGAATATGTGAGCATCGTTTCACAGGTTGTCAGATTCTGGGACATTTTTGTGGCTGAACATAAAATGTTTCTGAAAATTGAGATAAGATTGATTAAAAGTGATAAACATTAAAATCACAAATTCGAAAATTCAAAAGCTTGGAATTCGAGAATGTGAAGAATTTAGATACAGAAGTTAAGAATCAGAAGTTAAGAATATGGAAAAATCAGATTATTAGAAATTCTATAATAAGAAACTTTATCGTTTAAAAGTTCGAGAAAAATTAAGAATATCGAAATTGCAGAATCAATAGAAATTGTTTGGACCGTTTAGCAAAAATATCAAAAATAAATGCATTTTCCATTTAATTTGAATATTGTATTTTTTTTTCGAAATATTGTATTTTTGATTCAAGTGCTCTGGTACTTATTGCTTGCCAAATTTTTTTAATCTACAGTTATTAGAGTCTTAAATTTCGAGATCTTACAAAACCAAAAAGATTTTTTGAAAGATTCTGGCAAAACTTTCGTCAGCTGACATCTTTTCTACCATTTTTTTCTACAAAATGGCTGTTTCCAAATAACAAGCAAAATGTATGTCAACGATAATTATAGTGTAGAAAGGAAATAAGGGAAAACATATGCCTCCGTTATTCTGCATGATCTATGTGGTTTCAGTGGTTGAAATTTAAATATGAGCAATTTCGACACCAGCAGACACCAAGTACAAAAATTCCTTGTCCCGACACATCGAAATTTCCGGAAATTCGTTCACTACCTGAGCCGAATTGAAAATTAATGAAACTGGCAAATTTCGATTTCAAAGGATGAAAAGAAATTTTTGTTTGAAAAGTTTTGCTAAAGTCTCTTTTCTGAGTTTTCAAATTTTACATTTTTCTGAATCTGAATTTTTCAATTTCAGAATATCAGGAAAGAAGAAGACCTTTTTAACTTTCAGACAAATCAGCAAGTCCTATAATACTTTTCCATAGAAAAAAATCAAAATATGATGGAAATTCTGAAAATCTGTTTCAAAAATTTCTCTTCAAAATCATAAGTCATAAAAGATTCGAAGAAAACTGACCAAAATTACATATCTGTGAAGCGGAAAAGGTACAAAACGTGTCTGAGAAATCGTATACTTATGACTCTGTCCTCTTTTTCTAGTTGAGTTAATATGAACTTTTGATTAGTGGTGTTAGTTTTGATAGACTGATAAATTCATACATTATGACGAGACCGAAAAAAAAAAGAATAAATGGGAAGATCATGAAAATCATTTTTTGAATGTGGTTTTTGAAAGGGATCTATATTTAGAGAGGGCTCAAAAAATTTCAATTTGAATTTGAACTTAGAAAAAATTAAAAGAGATGAGACAACAAAAAGATTGGGGCAGTTTGGGGAACGAAATTGCGCCGAGCTTATGAAAGCAATCGGTCGGCAGTGAGATTCCCGCCCGCGTAGCTCAGCCAGTAGCGACTCTGTACCCCCAAACTGTTCCCGATGAGTTCAACTCCTCTTGGGGTTCTCTAGACAAATTATCAGGAATTTTTTTTTTAAATGTCTTGTCTCCGCCAATTATTTGAATATTAAACAGCGACGTTTAAAGGTTGAACATTTCCACCTGCAAGAAAAAAAACGAAAATTGAAGAATCAGAAAAGCACAATATAAATGTTTTCCACCGAACTTTTAATGAACACTTTTCTAGACACAGACAAAGTACGGCAATTTGAGCGAAACGATTTAAAATTGTATATTTCAGATAAATTTGAAGTGATGTAATGTTGTTGTGTTTTGCGACTAAACTTTGGAAAATGGGAATTTTGACATTGCATAGAAAAAATATTGGTTCTTTTTCACATAAAAAATGTCGAATTTTCAGATGCGCATGTTAATATGGTATCAAAACGACGAAAATGATTTGCTCATATGCTGAATTAAATAAAACCAGAAAAGTTACAAAATGCAGAAATTTAGAAAAACAAGTTTTCAACATTTTTATTATACAAAATATGAAGATTGTAGTAACGAATCTAGAGATAAATCTCATGTGACAAAAAACATATTGTAGAAAACGGAAATTGGAAAATTATATGTATGTTTTAACATATATTATTTTAACTAAAAAATTAATTTCCGACCCTGTCCATTGAATGGTTCGTTGAAGATCGTTATTAATTCCAGGAATTTGAAATTCGAAGAATCTGTAAACAGACATGTCTCTAGAATAAATTGGTTAATCTGAACACAGGCAAATATTAATAAGTGAAAATTTCAGTTTCATGAGCACCAACAAAACAATTCAGTTGCTGTTTTTATTGCTTCTTATGCCTCATCATGTTTTTTCCGTCAATTTCAACAGAATTAAATTGTCCCAAATTTCTGGAAAATCTACTCATTGGCATTTTTGGAATGAACTCATATTTTTCTGTCTGATTTTTTATTGTTTTATTTTTCATTAAGCCAGTTTTTTTTTCATTTTTCATGATGCTTTGGTTTTCCTGAAGCGTAAGTATGCAAACTTCAGATTTTAGTTTTGGAGGGAATCCCGATTCTTTTTTTTTCAAAATTATGAAAGTCCCAGTTTTACAAACATTGAGCCAGACAAAAAATATCATTTAACCCACAAATGTAAATCAAACTAAATTTAAACTTTTTGATGAATGAATTGACCCCCGCTAACCTAGATATTTCCGTCTTGAGTCATGTTGTCAAATCTAATTTTTTCGTTCAATTTGTCTCCAGGAAATTATAACAGAAAAAAAATCTGAGAAAAAGTTATTGAACGAAAAGAAAGAAATTTACTTCAAGGGGTTTTTTCTTCCTTGTTTTTTTTAGCTCCTAGATTTTGGAACTTCTGGAAAATCGGTGATTTCTGATCTTCTAGGATTATTGAATTTTTTGAGTTTTTGAATTTTATCAATCCTTGGAATTCCCGAACTCCTGAATTTCTGAATTTATGATTCATTTTTTTCCCGATGAGGAGGTGTATATTATCATTCCAGCTCATTGAACTGGAAAGAATATTTTTTTTTTTGGAATTTTTGAAAATCACAATATGCGCCATCTGCTTATTTATAGTAGAAGATAGCATATTTTCTTTGCTTTTCAAACCCAATTTTCGCATTTTTTTTCAAATATTTTAAAAAATTAGTTTTTCAGACATGTCTACCACAGCCTCTCGAAATATCTGGAACACAAATTTAGACACCTATTATTATATAAAGAGATCAATAAACCTTATTTTCACCCCATTATTCCCTTTAATTCTTTTTTGTGTCTATAAAAAATCGCCGAAAAATTTCGGATCGCTAAAATTGTTTTTATATTTTCATGTGTTTTGGTAGGTCCAGCATATGAAATTTGGAAATCAATCTTATTAAATTTTAGCATTTCCATCCAATGGCTCTATAATTGTCTATTAATTGACACTTTTCAATTTGTACCATCTCCATTTGTACAAATTATGGGATTTTTGACAAAATTTGTGAATCCAGTACACTTATACATTGCAAACTACTGCTGTACTTCTAGTGGGTTTTTTTTTCAATTTTTTGAGTTTTCAGCTTTTGCAGGCACATTGGGATCCTGTCAGACACTTTTTTGTAATCGGTTGTTCAAAATTTTGCACTTGTACAATTCGAAAAAATCTGTGATTTTTTGGATTTTCGAAATATTTATTTACCTTGGAGTTTTTGGGTTTGCAGTATCGGTTGTACCTTCGATGGTCAGTGGGATGCCAGAAAATCAGGAAAATGCAAAAGAGGCGTATAAAGGTAGAATTTGGAATATTTCTACTAAATTCAGAAATTCGGAAATTCGGAAATTTTGAAATTCTGAAACTCTAACATTCAAAAGCTCAGAATTTCAGAAATTAACTCGGAAATTTAGAAACTCTGTTATTTAGGATCATTGAATTGAGGCTTCCATTTGGTCGGGAAATTTAGCTGACCGACCGACCACCAACCCCGCCGACCGACAGCCGACCGAGTTGACAGCTAAGCCGGCGCGCCGACCGTTTTCGTGCATTTGCGGGTCAACGTGTTTGCATACGTTGCATGGTACTTTACGACAAACTACTCACTGAATGCCTCGTTTGTCGTTTAATACAGTGCTTCGTACGCAAAAATTCGTATTTTGATGCGCAAAGGCACGAAATCGGTCGGCTGTCGGTCGGCTGTCGGTCGGTGGTCTGCCGGCGGTCGGCGATTTTTGACCGACCAAAATGGGAGCCTTACATTGAATTCTGTTGTGCAGAAATTTCTGAATTCTTCGAAATTCAAATGAACTTCGATTATCTTAATTTCCATATTTCCAGCTTAACCAATATTCTCTAACGTTTTAAAGCAGCTGAAATAAAGTAGCTCAGTTTCCTAAACAGAACAAATTCAAATTTCCAGCCATCCTCCCTCCCCGATTTTACCCCGACACCATCACCAACCCAACCGTTATAATATTCTGCGATCCCCAAAAATCGTGTCAATCCAAAACTATCAAATTCAATTTAATCCATATCACACTCGTCACACTGACAATAATAATCTCTGCGAAATTGGCCATTTGGATTTTGGAACGAAAAATGAATTCACGAAATGAGTCGGAAAAAACCAGAAAGATGCACAAGAATTTCAATAATCGTTCAATGTTTCAAGTTTTAATCCAATTTTTATTTTCTACAATTCCATTCACCATTGTTAATTGCCTACTGTACTTTAATATTATAATTCCAGAAGTTTCCTATTTTTCAGACATTATGGCTGAACTAATGCCACTTGCTTGTGTAGTAACTTTATTTGTTTTTTACGAACCTTATCAGAATTTCGTTTTGGTGAAAATTGGAATTCGTCAGGATAATTGTAGAATAATTTCAACTACTGGGGCCTTTGAAAAAGTTGGGAAAGGGAAAACGACACCAAAATGTCATACGGTACATTGAAAACAAAATGTTCATGTATTTGAAAAAAATGTTCATAAATAAAAGTTCTATTTCTAAAACATTTCATTTTGAAAATCACAAAAAGCGATATAAATCAAAAAGAATTTATCTAAATTTCTTCTTTATTATCTTCATTATTCTTCTTTTCCATACTTTGTGTTCTTCTGGCAGTAGTGAAGAAGATTATCATGGCAATTATTAAATGTACAGATATTCCAATGGTATAGACATACAATGGAATGATAGATGATAAGAAAAACCGGATACATGAGCCGAGAGCCTGGAAAATGAGCAATTTGAGAAAAATGTTTTTTTCAAAAATTTCCAAAATGTTACCTCGATTCCGAAAAATCATTTGAAGTCTAAAAATGGCCGAAATCTTTAAAACACCGGAAGTCTTCAATTTACTAACTCTGAAAGTCTTGTAAATCCTGAAGTCTAAAAAATTTTTCAAACTCTGAAAAACTCATAAAATCTTCACATTTTCATAATCATTGGAAAAAAATTTGCAAAAATTCTGAGAACCAAATTTCACAATTTTTTATCATCAAAAAATTTGCCAACACTGCTGAGTAGAGCAAAAAATGTCCTAAAAATCAAAAACCCCGTACATTGACCTTGATGTTGTTTACCAAAAGTGAACAAAAAAGAGAAATGTCTTATCGTTTCTCTTTTTTTCCGTTTCAAACCTTGATAATGAGAGAAATCGCCTCATTTTTCAGTTTTTTTCTTTCCCAATTTTTTGTTTCTTGCTTCTATTCATCAATTTTTCCCTCAAAATTCAATCAATTGTTTCAATGCTCATGTGATTTTCAGAAAATGGTTTCTTTCGAGAAATATATTTATCCCATTCGAGGAAAATTACGATTTGAAACTGATCAAATGGAGGATTTGAATAAATGTTACAAATATGGAAACGCTGTGAAACTTGGGAAAACAGAATGGTAAGTTTTTTGTTTTTGGGGGTTTGGAATCCTTCAAATTTAAGATTTTCAAAAATTCGGCACCGACTATTTAGGCACTTTAAAAACTTTAATATTCTAAGTTCTAAAATTCCAAACTTCATGATTTCTTGAAACACTCAAACACCCGGGTTTTCTCAATATCGAATTTTTCTAGGAAGTTTTTTTTCTAAATTCCAGTTCATTGAACTTTATACTGTAGCTCCTTGAGAGCTCTTTTTCAAAAAAATCGTTTTAAAAAACTCAACTTTCAGTTAAAAACAATATTCAGGTGTCTCATCGTCGCCACAGAATGCTCGCCGCACACTCAGAATCAAAAGTGTTTTTCGATTTTTTTGAAATCACTTTACAATTATGATCTTGCCGAAACTATTTCGGGTCAATTTTGTGTGTATATTTTGAAGAATTCAAAACCAGAAAAAGCACGGAGAACGAAATTTGTGATGAATGAAAAATCTACGGGTACTTATGGATTCCCTAATTTTTTGAAGTGGGACGAATTGATGAATGATGGATATGTGGAAAATGGAAAAATTGTAATTGAAGCGGTTTTGTCAATTGAAGTCGAACAAATTTTCAATCCAAAATCCACATTTTTTGACTGCAGACCAAATAGTGAGGATTTGAAAGTCATGCTAGAGCCCAAAGAAGAAGGATGTCAGGTAATATGGTTTCTTATTTACAAAAATGTTAATATTAAAAAGAATGCTCTAGAAAAATACTTCTTTTCAGATAAAAAGTGGGAGAATTATTCAAGAAGTTGAAATGGCAAAACTGAAGGACATGGTGTTTTCGGAAACTATTGTCATTGATGGAATTTCATGGTAATTTTTTTAGATTTTGAAAATATTTTAATTCCGATTTTCTGAATTTCTGAATTTCTGAATTTCTGAATTTCTGAATTTCTGAATTTCTGAATTTCTGAATTTCTGAATTTCTGAATTTCTGAATTTCTGAATTTCTGAATTTCTGAATTTCTGAATTTCTGAATTTCTGAATTTCTGAATTTCTGAATTTTTGAATTTCTGAATTTCTGAATTTCTGAATTTCTGAATTTCTGAATTTCTGAATTTCTGAATTTCTGAATTTCTGAATTTCTGAATATTTCAAAATAATTTCTAAATCATTCAAAATTGCTTGAAATTTTCATAAGTTTTTGAATTTTTAAAATTTTTGAGTCACTCGATCTTCGAATTCTTTGAAATTCCAATCTTTCAAAATTTTCCGAATTTCTTGAAACCAGAATTTTTGGAAGTTTTCAGGCGAGTGGGATATCATAAAGAAGGAACAAATGGAATTGGATTTCTGTTTTTATGTAACGAGAACCTTCAAAATCTCTGGTGGCGAGTTGAAGCTGCCGCGGAAATTCATATCAAAAGTCGATTGCATCCAAATGTGAATATTTCATTCAATGTTCCACCAAAACTGTTTCTTGGATCGCGAAGTTACGGATCATTTTATGATATATGGGATTTTTTGATGGATCAAGAATCCGGATACCTCAGCATTGGAAAAATTTTAGTGGAAATAAGAATTGATGTTAGGAAGAAATATGGATTTGAGTGTCCTCAGAAGCCAATTCGAAAAATGACGGATTCCGTGATATTGATTGATGGAGAAGAATTTCATGTTTCTAGAAGTGTAAGTTTAAAATGTTTCATTGTCTTCAAAACGGTCTCAAAGGTTTTTTATTGACTGAGAAATACATAGAAAGCTCGTGATTTTTTGATTGAAAAATAGGATCTAATTTCTTCAAAATGAAGCTCGGTGTCTATAAAATATATCAAAAGGGGTCAACTAACAAAATTTTTTTTATAAAATTGAAAATATTTCGTCAGTTGACAACGTTTTGATATCTTTAACAGTAACAGAGATATCTTGTGGGAAACTCCGCCCCTTTTCCACTAAGGGTATATACGTCACTAAGTGAAGGAGGTAAGACAGTATAAATTATAGATAAGGGGATTAACACTTGACTTTATTGACTTGTAGTAATTGACCGGAATTCCCTATATTGGAATTCAGATATTAAACTTAATTTTTAGGCGTACCAAAAAATAGATTTCTCTAAAAAATTCTAGGAAATAATCTGAGCAATTTTCAGCTCTTATCCCATCACTCATCGGTTCTTTGTGACCTGTTTACTGGAACTCCAGACATTCCAAATTTTTTATTCGACGAAATTTCCAAAGAATTATTTGTCAAATTTTTGGAATTGGTGCATGATTGGAAAACTGAAATTGATGGTGAGATTTTCCAGGATCCTTTTTTTTTTATTTAAAAAATAATCAAATATTCCCAATTTTTCAGAGAAAAATATCGAAAAATTGCTGAAATGTCTAAATCTTCTGGAAGCCGATGAATGTATAAAACTCTGTGATAATCTGATGGTAAGCATGGAAATTGAGGACGAGGCCAAAATATATCGACTCATCCAAAATTACAATCTCCCGAAATTTGAAGCAAAACATTTGAACACACAACAAGTGCCGAGGTGAGGAATGAATTCAATTTTTGCAACAGAGCGCATTTTCAAACTTTTCAGAGTCCCAATGAGCCCTATTACTCGTATGTGAAACGATACCCAAAACTTCCCAACGTTTTACGTCCAACCGGAGAATTTCAATTCGAATTCGTTGAAAAGACTCGGGAAATGTTAGAGGATCCAGAAATGGAACACATTGGAAATGAAGTTCTTTTATATTTGTCGAGGAAATCGAATCTTTTGAAAAATATGTGTAGTCGAGTGTTTTTTAAAGAGTTCTCCGATCCCTTGGATATGGTGGTTTTTCATTTTGAAGATGGAAAAAGTTTCTATGCCAGTAAGCAGGTAAGAATGATGTTTTGAGGTTTCAAAAAATTAGGTCAAAGTTGTGAGTTTGTTTTGAAAATTTTGAGGAATATTGACTAAAAATATACCGTATTTCCTCTAATAGAAGCCCATGGGTTTTTATTTTTCAATGAATAATTTTCAAAAAGTTTTTTTTTAATCATACATTTGGCAATTCGGAAGTTAAGAATTCTAAACTTCGAGGTTTTTTTTAATTCGAAGTATTCATTCTGCAATTCTAAACTCCAAAATTCGGAATTTATGAAATTCTGAGATTCCAGAATCACAAAATTCAAAATTCAGGAATTCTGTAGATCAAAAATTGAGAAATTTTCAAGTTCTAAAATACCAGTTCCAAAAATTCTGAAATTAAGCTTATTTTTCCTTATTTTCTCTAATAGACGCCCATGGGCTTCTATTAGAGGGGGGGCTTCTATTTTTCGAAGCATCTCACGGGGTGGGCTTTTATTAGAGGTGGACTTCAAATAGAGGTGGGCTTCTATTAGAGGAAATACGGTATATTTATTTTTGTACTTGACAACTTTTTGGGAAAATTAATTTCTGAAGAGATACAGTACAGTGCGCGTCATAATTATAGGACATCCCTCCCATATTAGTGTTCTGAAAAAAAAAAACCAAAAAAGATAACTGAATTTTGTAAACGCAGTTCGATTCAGCGTGTGGAAAAACCTATGTTCACAAAATTTCAGACCAATTGAGCCATTTTTATGCTCACAGGGCTGAAAAATCACTTTGTAGGCTGCGTCATAATTTTAGGACACCCCTGGAAAATTAAAAATCTCCACTTTTTAATGGAAAAAAATTCAAATTTTTTGTTGAAAACTGTCAAAATAGTCCCAAAACAGCCTACTTTGACAACATACACAATCATTGATCCCTCTATTCAAGTTTCAGAAAAAATTATTTTCAGATATTTTTGTCATTTTTTGGGTTTTTGGAGTAAATCGTGAATAACTTTGCTCTTGGGTAAACTTTCCGGCTGAAATTGATAGGAACCATTTTAAGAGTGTTCATGTAAATGTTCGAGTTATTCTCATATTTGACAGCTCGTAATGGAGCTCAAGTTTTGAACTGATCGAAAAATTTTTAAAGCCGAAAATAATGTTCGAAAGACTTTCTAAATTACCAAAAATGTCATTGAAGTTGAGGATTAGTACGGAATGAAAATTTTCAGTTACCAAATCAAGTTTTTCATAATCAGATTCACCGAATTTCAAGGACATTTTTAGAAATTCTAGTTTTGCTTAAGTTGGAAACAACAGTTCAGAATACTGTAACAACAATTAGTATACAATCCAAATCACTAAAAAAATGTTTCCTATCAATTTCAGCCGGAAACCTTACCCAAAGTTATTCACGATTTATTCCAAAAAATGACAAAAATGTCTGAAAATAATTTTTTCTAAAACTTGAATAGAGGGATCAATGATTGTGTATGTTGTCAAAATAAGCTGTTTTGGGACTATTTTGACAGTTTTCAACAAAAAAATTGAATTTGTTTCCCTAAAATCTTGAGATTTTTCATTTTCCAATGGTGTCCTATATGTACAGGGTGGCTGAAAAGTATTGAGACACTTGTTATGATGGCTCTTGGCACCGTGCCAAGTCGTATTTTCGAAAAGTTTCGTATTATTTCGAAAATAGGGAGCGTATATAAGCCGACATTAGAGCCATTTCCCATCACTTTATCTCTTCACGAAGTTATGCGAGCTTCTCCTCATCGCCAAACCATTGCCAAGCTGTTCAACGACGGCATCTCTACCGGTGACATCGCTCGAAGACTTCTTCTTCCGAGAGCAACTGTCTATCGAGTTGTGCAACAATTGAAAGATCGAGGACATGTGTTGGAGCTTAAGAAAAGCGGAAGACCTCGTACTGTCAACACTCGCCGGACTCGTGGCATCATCAAGAAGAGAATCACACGAAATGATGCGGTCAGCATGAACCAAATGGCTTCATCGCTCGGAATCTCAAGACAATCGGTTCAATCCATTGTGAAAAAGGACTTGGGTCTGAACAGTTATCGGCTCCTTCGTGGCCAATACCTCACAGAACAGTCCAAGAAGAATCGGCTCGAAAAAGCGAAAAAGTTGCTCGACGCACTCAAGGTGCGCCGCCTCTCTGAAGTCATTTGGACTGATGAGAAAATTTTTACGGTTGAGCCGCTTCCGAACCGACAGAATGCTCGGCAATTGTTGTCAAAGGACGAAGCAAAGTCCCCAAAACGTCGTCTGGCCTACAAGAGACTTTTTCCAAAGTCAGTGATGGTGTGGGCTGGATTGACGTCGGAAGGTAAAGTCCCATTGGTTTTCATTGATAGAAATATGAAAATCAACTCGGATGTGTACCAAAAGTTGGTGTTGATGGATGTTTTACGTCCGTGGGTCACTAGCCACTTTGGCCAGCAACCCTTCATTCTTCAACAAGATTGGGCCCCGTCCCATGGCTCGAAATCCACGAAAGCTGTTCTCGACGCTCATTTCCCTGGCTACTGGGGCAAGGACATGTGGCCCGCTTCCTCGCCCGACTGAATCCACTCGACTTTTCCGTTTGGGGATATTTGGAGGAAAAGGTGATGGCTCGATCGCACCCAAATGTGGATTCACTGAAGGCCGCTTTGCTCAAAGCATGGGATGATCTTGACGATGACTACCTCCGGCGCACCGTCGCTTCTGTTCCAGCTCGTTTGAAGGCGTGCATCAAGGCCGAAGGCTCAAACTTCGAATATCTCCTCTGATATCTTTTCTATTACTATCATTTGTTAAAAAAATAAATCTGGTTCTTTTGTTGAAACTCCATTTTTGAAAATACAACAAAAAACAAGTGTCTCAATACTTTTCAGCCACCCTGTAGTTATGACGCCGCCTAGAAAATGATTTTTCAGCCCTGTGAGCATAAAAATGACTCAATTGGTCTGAAATTCTGTGAACATAGGTTTTTCCACACGCTGAATCGAACTGCGTTTACAGAATTCAGTTATCTTTTTTGGTTTTTTCAGAACAATTGTTTGGGAGGGTTGTCCTATAGTTATGACCCACTGTAGATGGCAAAATATGTTTCATATTTTGACTTTTTCAGTTGGAAAAACGTTGTTTTTTTAGTTGACAACGTTTCTGAAATGCCGAAACTGATCTAGTTTTTTCAAAATTTTTTTGAGTCATGTTACTTTTAACAAACTATCCAAATTTTGAATCACAAAATCTAAAATATATTTTCATTTTGTACTTTCTGGAGTTTTCAGAAAATTCTGACATCTTTGAACTAATTTTTCTTTTCTTAATAATCGGAAGTTCAGATTCTGGCTCAGTTTTCTCAACACTTTATGAGAGAGTTCTATGGACCGAAATATAAGGGAAATGACAATGAAATCAAAATTTCTGATGTGAAATCTGAAGATTTTGAGATGTTTTTAACGTTTATATATCGTCCAGCTAAGGAGGTCACAGGTATTTCTTCACAAATTTTGAAAGATTTTTTAAAGGGGGACTCCGGTCAATTTTTTTATTGCATCAAAATGTGTTAAAATTTATCTATTTTCAGAATATTATTGCGAAAAAATTCGAAAAAAACCCGAAATCCCCAAAAAACGCCGTTGAAAAGGAAAGAAATTCAAAAAAATGTGCCGCCGAGGGACGAGGATTTTCAGTGAGAAACCTAGGCCACGTGAGCGGCGCGACTTTCTTACCGGACAATTTTTCCGGATTTTTCTCGCTTTTATCTCTTTAGCAGGTAAAAAACGTTAAAAAACACTGCCGACCACTTGAAA